CACAGAGACTGGGAACAGGGTACAGGCTAAACAATACTCAGCGGAGAATGGTTGTTTGAGTGGGTGTTATATAGTGAGTGAGTGATATGAAACAGCTGTGTGCAATCAGTGCAGTGTGTAATCAGTGCAATGGATGATGGGATATGTAGTCCGGGGTGCTATGCAACAGTTTGTGTTGTGCGAGAGTCAATGTAATGGAAAGGGTGACCTCTGGTGGTGAATGAATGGAAGTCCATGGACAGGATTCGTGACAAGTGCTCACTGCACAAGTTAAATACAGATTAATCTTTGTTACAGCTGTGGTGTCATTTGATTAGCAGACAGAAACAGGTATTTATTGGGTGCTGTCTCTTTAAGACCAAATGCACGGACCTAATACTGACACACATCCGGTTTTCTTCTCAGCTGTTAACATTCACTTAAGACATAACCGACTGTGTTTACTAGAATACTTGCCAAAACGGGTATTTTAACATAACTTTGTGTGAATGTGAAAGAGGAATCAATTTGCTGTTGACACGGTGTCTTTCTCTCTGCGTGTGCGTTCTTCAAGTGTGTGCGGCAGCGGCTGAGCGAACAGAAAACAGCGTGCGAGTTAAAATTGCTTGAATGTGTAAACTGGCACGACAAAACGTGCAAATGATAAACTTTAACTATGATGGTTAACTTAACAGTTAATCCACGAATCACGTGTGTGCCGAACCGTGCAGCCTGATCCGTACGGATCACGGATCATCTACGATCCGTTGCACCCCTAATTAATGTAAATACATGCATGTAAATACATGTAAATAATTTCAAAATGAATACTGTATGTGTGTGTATTTATATATACATAATAAATATACACAGTACACACAGATATATTATGTAAATAAAAACATTTATTTTGAATGCGATTAATCGTTTGACAGCACTAATTTATTTACAAAATGTAACTGTAAAACTACTCTGCATTTATTGTGTAAATCACACAAAGTCAGCATTTTTCAGACAATATTTTAATAATGTACTGAGCCAATACAAAAAGATATAATTTTGCTAACGTTTTATCTTTTATAATGTCATGCTTTTTCTCACACCGTGTAAATGGGTCTTTATTTGAGAAAAAATGCTGATATTTTAGGAGGGAAGGGTCTCTGAGGGCATCATCATATTTGGGGGGTTCTTGGCATCAAAATGTCTGAAAATCTCTGTTTTAATGCATCAAGCTGTCGGGCCCTTTTTGTAACTTTAAATTTTTTAGACTGTACTGTCCACAAGCATCAGCAGAACTTCTTCAGCAGCAGTCTGAACTCAATTACCATGTTTCACAATCTGCCATTGGTGCTGTTTTACCAGGGTTAGGCCCTTTTTGTAACTTTAAATTTTTTAGACTGTACTGTCCACAAGCATCAGCAGAACTTCTTCAGCAGCAGTCTGAACTCAGTTACCATGTTTCACAATCTGCCATTGGTGCTGTTTTACCAGGGTTGCAGGAGGGCAGCCATATACTGCTCCACTTACTTCTAATTGTAATTCGATAGCGCATAATCTCAAATTTGTTACGCATCACATTTTATAATATGGTAATATTGTAATGGTAAGTGGCTGAACGCACTTGGCCTGGACCGTAGCAGATGGCAGCGGCTTCCTCGCCAACCTCAGGTGATTAGGGAGACAGATTTTGTGATCTGAATCTCGGAAAGAGAGGCCATAAAGGTTTCATCATCTTGGAGACAGAAAAAAAAGTTTCAAAGTGATGTAGTGTTTAAAAGCTTTTAGATGGTTTTTTGGGTGGGGAATACGGGGTTGGAGAGGTTTCTGGAAACTCAATTTGTATCAATATTTTATGAAAGGCAGAAACCTGTCTGAGTTCAGGCCATGGTTCCACATCGGTAGCATCAAATGGACCAGCAGTGATATTTCTCATCTTTATTCCACTTCAGCAAGCACCTCTTGCAATTTTAAGTTGAAACAAGGGTTTTTCACACCATTTACCTGAAAACAGAAAGTTCTCTGGTTGCTAAAATGCACATTACTATGTTTAATGTATTTGTCAATTGACAAGAATTATTCATCATTACGCCAGTGAGTGGAGACGAGTATCTTTTTGTGTGGTATAAGTAATTTAATTATTCACTCAAAAGTTTCATTCCCTGAGTCATTTCCAAAAAAAAAAAAAGTCTTGTTATTATCTTTCGTAATAAGAGATTGTTTGTAAGCATTTCGACATAAATAACTATTATTTATATTCCATTTTAGTTTTCTCGATTTTAACAGATTCTCATTTTTACGAAACAATATTGATTCTTAAATTCCAAAAATCAATTAGTCTTGCCTGTTTTCAGTTAATGAACAGAACATTGTAGCGCACCTCCCATCCAATAAATCGCAATTTCATGTACAAATTACTTTTGATATGAAACAAAGTCTCAGATTTCAAATTCTGTCAATACTGTTCATTTTATTACAGTATTCAAACAATACATATTGTTTTTGGCACTGTTAAATGTGGTTTGATAGATCGCTGTAGCGCCTCAGTTCAAGAGAAGTGCAAGTGAACTGATATCTCCTCCGCTTTAATACCAGGTTCAGCACAAAATAAACATGAATGAAACATGAATAAACATCCGAAGATATGTTAAAAGAAAGAGTACAACTTACCAAAATCCGTATCATGTCTCATGTAATCGCTTAATCAGTGTTTCAACTGCGGAAAGATGTCAGTATAACAGCTTGTAAATAAATTCACGTAACGTCATATTTACCTCAGAAAAAACATACTCGGTGACCATAAACTTAAAAAAAAAGAACTCTAGAGAGAAGCGTTTTGCTAAATATATGCACCACACATTAAATTTCATTAGAATTTTTCTGTTCTTCAGGGTTTCATTTGTTTGAATATATCCATCTAGTTTTTTTTTATCACAGCCACCATGTAAATGTTTATATTTCAAAAAGCGAATTGGAGTAGAAATATAATTATGTAATTGTAACTTTATTATTATAAAAACGAATTGAGTGTAATTTAAGCGCTTGTATACAAATCAGCTCATTTTAACCTTCATTATTATAGTGATGTAGTACCAACTGATGTATATTTTATTTGAGAGATTTTTTTTTCCTTGAGAAAATTTTGCATGTAGCATATTGTATCTGATATATATATATACAAAATAATCGTTATCGAATCGAATCAATTCGAATTGCAAGCTTGTGAATCAGAATCGAATTAAATAGTGAAACTGACATCAAAACCCAGCCCAAGTCCTTATGTCATTTTAATAATGTATGGTTATCTGCCATTGTTCTTTTTGTTCTGCTAAACCTCCTATGGTTTTTCTTTTTCAGTGGGAGGAAGTAAGCGGCTATGACGAGAACCTCAACACCATCCGAACGTACCAGGTGTGCAACGTCTTTGAGTCCAACCAGAACAATTGGCTGCTCACCACCTTCATTGCACGACGTGGCGCTCAGCGTATCTACGTGGAGATGCGTTTCACCGTCCGAGACTGCAGCAGCATCCCGCGGGTGCCTGGATCCTGTAAGGAGACCTTTAACCTGTACTACTACGAGACCGACTCCGTCATCGCCACCAAAGGTACGGCGTTCTGGATGGAGGCTCCGTATTTGAAGGTGGACACCATTGCGGCGGATGAGAGCTTCTCACAGGTGGATTTTGGTGGTAGATTGATGAAAGTGAACACGGAGGTGCGAAGTTTCGGTCCATTGTCGAAAAACGGCTTTTATTTGGCATTTCAGGACTACGGCGCATGTATGTCCCTGCTGTCTGTCCGTGTGTTTTATAAGAAATGCCCTAGTGTCGTGCAGAACTTTGCGATCTTTCCAGAGACCATGACCGGGGCAGAGAGCACCTCGCTGGTGATCGCTCGCGGGATGTGCATCCCAAATTCTGAGGAAGTGGACGTACCGATTAAGTTGTACTGTAATGGCGATGGGGACTGGATGGTTCCGATTGGGAGCTGCACCTGCAAGGCAGGATTCGAGCCGGATAACGGGAACGTCTGTCGAGGTAAGACGTTGGGTTTTTAATAGTGTTGATCTTTGGTTAACTAATGTATAAGGGCTGTCAAACGATTAATCGTGATTAATCGCATCCAAATTGTATACTGTGTATATATATTATTTATATATAAATACACACACATGCAGTATATATTTAGAAAATATGGACATTATATTCATATAATTTATATTATATAAAAATATATTTAATATATAAACGTAAGAGATTTTTCTTAAATATATACATGCATGTGTGTGTATTTATACATACATACATAATAACTATACACAGTACACAGACATATTATGTAAACAAAAACTTTTATTTTTGATGCGATTAATCGTGATTAATCGTTTGACAACACTAATAAATATTCATATATTTTAGGTGTTTTAAATGGATCCTTTTCAGTTGGCGGAAAACGTGGGATAGTCTAGAGTGTATGAATTTCCATTTTATTTTAGTTTTATTCTGGTTTGGAGCTGGTTTAGCTCATGGACCAGTATTTCATAGCCATGATATTTGCCAGCAATATGTTTTTTAATCAAAGTTTGATAAAAGGCTTCTTGCTGGTTAATCTAGTAGACCAGTGTCAGAAACAGCTTCCAAAACCCAACATTTGCTGGTGACCCAGTGACTAAGCTGGTCTTTTTTCCTGAGCGTTAGATCACGAAGTTTCTGCAAGAGCTTTGACGAATGAACTTCCTGTTGATTCAATTGTGAGATGCACAGATTTGTGATTATTTGAGAAGATTTCCATGCACCATATTTTGAGTTTGAGTTGACTTATTCTGGATTAATATGGCAATGTGCACACATCGAGAGAGAAAGCAGAATGTGGTGTTGAAGATTGTTGATGTTGGGTTGAGTGAGGCAAAGATGTAGCTAAAGTCAAATAGGACCATTTTTGAATTTGTCCTTTAAAATAAAACCACTATTATAAATATTATATTATAATTTAATACATTGGTTCAGGTTGTACTATTCTGGTAGGCAAATCAGACCTATAAACACACAGTTTCTCTTTTTTTTTTGTCTGTATTTAGTCGCTCTATTTTCATGTGCACACCGAGACACAAACGGTCATATTGTTCTTTCAAGGGTCTGCGATTGGTCGATTTGGCCTTCACTCAAGGCCAGTGCCATATTGGCTCCCTCAGGACCAAATGTGTTGAGAGACGATAAGATTGATTGACAGCCATCTGTCTCGATCAATGAACAGATACAACACTTAGTGTGGGAGGGCCAGCTTTGAGGACCACAGGTGCCTCTACACATAAATACACACATGCACAGGTGGCGGTCTTGTTGAGTTCATTGGCATCCTCAGGCAAGGTCTTCTTATCAACTGAGAGATGGTCATAATGGCATGTAGTCCAGGTTAAGACCTGTTTTAGACTGCAGAAACCCCTCAAAAGTTGGCCTTTGTGAACTTGAAATGAATTTTACACAGTGTCCAAAACCCAAGTGCAATGTGAGCAGTTTTGACCCCAACATTTATTTTATTTATTTATTTATTAGTATTTTTGTATAATAATTATGGTTAAAACATGCTTAGATATGACATATATCTGGGTCTTGAAATGCACATGCAAGGAACATGCCATTTAACTTAATTTAACTTTCAATTCAGCTAAAATTAACTATTTAACTAAATGTATTAAATAAACTAATTAAGTTGCAAACAACAGTATACATGTGAAAGGACAGAAACATACCAACATCTGCTGGAAGTGACAGAAAAATGATGAAAATGTGGGGCTGAAAACGTGTCATGTTGCGCCTGTTGAGGACACGTTGTCGGATGTCTTCTGGAATGCTCTGTGATCTGTAAGAGGTGATGAAGTTGTCATAAACTTTGAAGATCAAAGATGGTTGAGGTTTTGCTTGGTGTTAGCATCTGGTGTAAAGTCTGTCAGCTAGATGTGGCCGCGGTTTTTAAAAGCCAGTGTGTTAGCGGATTAACGATTTCGCACACAGCAAGTCACCACTAATTACTGCCGCTTTGATCTGCGAGTTCCCATAAAGGCTTTTGATGGGGTAATATATTGCAGTCTGAACATGCACACACACACATTGCATTCTTATAAAGTTTCCATAAATTCCCTGGGGTTGATTTTACCAGCACTGGCAACCTGGGGTAATAAGTATTCCTTTAATGTTCATTAGTCTGTTTTTGTTGATGGCCGTCTGGATCCAAACCTCCACACCCCCCTCTGCTTTCATTGGTCGATTTGGACCTGGAGAGGGTGATTAGAGGTTGATTAGAGTAATTGGTCTTTTGAGTTAATGAAGGTGTTTGAGCTATTATAAATGTGTCTCAAAGGAAGTCTGAGCAGCTTTGCGTCTTGGAAGGGATTGTTGCGTACTACTTACTGCATACTGCACAATATACACTGTATGCTACCTACTGTTTTCTTGATATAAAGCAAACAATAGTATGTTAGTTGTGACATGACCTCATTATGCTTGTCAAATAACCTAATTAGGACCTTGTGTAATTTAGTGAGCAGTGTCCAGCTGATTATTAGAAGTAAATAATTTATATTTTGCTTTTTTTAAATTTTGGCAGTCTGATTAAATAATAAATTAATCAAAAAATATGTTAAAAAGAAGCACCATTACTATTACTATTAATATTATCATTTGTTGTACAACAAACACTTATTTTCTTGAATTTTTTTTTTCAGTACACATTTGTTTTCTAAAAAATATATCAAAATTAAGTGAGGTTTCTGTTTAAAACAAGAAGGAAAAAAATATAAATCAAAATCTTAAATAAACAAAACAAAACCAATAGGGTAAGAAAAATGTTTGAATTAAGTTTATATTCCTTACCCAATATTTTTGCCTTGTTTTAAACATAAACCTCACTTAACTTTGCTGAATTATTTTGCATCTCAATATATGTTAATTTAAGAATGTTTAAATAAAATATGTTAAAAGCACCATTACTATTGATATTATAATATTAACACTTGTTTTATTGAACATTTTTTTTTTTCAGTACAAATTTGATTTCTGAGAAATATATCAAAATTAAGTGAGGTTAATGTTTAAAACCAGAAGGAAAAAAATCTAAATCTAAATCTAAATAAATACAATACAATACAATACAAATCTACCAATGGGGTAAGAAAAAATATTTGAATTAAGTTTATACTTCTTACCCCATATTATTTCCTTATTTAAAATTTAAACCTCTCTTAACTTTGTTGAATTTATTTTGCGTCTCAAGTAAATATGTGTTGATTTAAGAATGTTTAGATATTTGTACTGGAAAAAAAACAACATAAATCTCACTTAATTTTGATACATTTCTTAGAAAACAGCACTTATGTGTTTTTGCATCTCAAGTAAATGTATAATAATTTAGGAACATTTAGATATTAGTACCAGGAAAACTAGACAAAATAAATAAATAAATAAATAAAATGAATAAGAAAGTGACTTTTTTGCAGTGAAACTGAGTACATTGCATTCTGGGATACGGAACTGATAATGTGTGCATTATGCGGCGCTGTATACTGCGCTTTTTGGCAAAAAGAATTGCTCATCCAGGTTTTCCATGCATCTAGACAATTTGCACACTTTATATCAAAGTTACTGCAAAAATAGTCTAGTATGCTAGTTTGCTGTTTAGAACACAGCCAGTGTGTCTCCAGGAAAGTTTATCTCATTCTGTCACCCACTTTCCCTCGTTCATTCTATCTGTCTAACGCACAGCTGGGTTTGTTATTTTGACCCTGCTCAGAGGGAGTCTGAATAATCACTGTGTGTATACAGTATGTCCGCATATCTGTGTGAGAGTCGGATTAGATCTCACCCTCAGGGTGAGAGATGATGGCTGTCACCCGGAGTAAAATCAGCATATTAATAAAATAACCTCCCCCCATTAGCCACAGCTCTCAGCTCAGCTCGGATTCTGCAGAAAAAAGGCCAGGCCGGGTCGAGCCGTGACTGTTCTGGGGTGCAGATTTGGCTGTGTATTCTGCCAGTGTGTGTCTCGAGTGCTCTGACAGAGGGGTGAGAGGCTGGATGACCCCTCACAGGCTGCGGAATTGAACAGAGATACACTCACCGCAAGAGCTGTCTGAACTGACACACACCTGGAGAGAGCGGACAGCTTTATACAAACACACACACTCACAGTCATGTATAACTTTATATACAAACAAACACATTCACAGAGCTCTATACAAACACTCACTCTGTATACACACAGATATACACAAATGCAACGCACTAAAATTGGAGTAGACAAATATGAAAATGTATATACAGTAGACATAAGCTGCTTTTCTATCCATGTAGTTTTATGCAAGTGTTTAGGCTTTTGGATGAAAAAAAAAAACACTAAAAAATTAATGTAAACACCATGAATAAAATTTCCAAAGTGCACGTGCTTAAAAAAAAAAAAATCAGTATTCTTGCTTAGGGCAAATAAATGTTTTATTTGCTAAGAAGGCATGCACACATATTATATAAAAACATTTACTGTATGTTGCATTCAGAAATTTGGAAAAGCCATGTGAATATTTTGCTTGTTTGCTACTGATTGATGCTCTAAATCAAAAATAATGTATTGCATTTCTGTAATTAATTGTGCAGTTTTCCTTGACAATGTTGTTGTTTTTCAACATATGGGATGTAAATGTAAATTGTTTTGATCAATTATATTTAATTACATTTTTTACATTTATATAGGCCTAAATAAAGAATAATTTATATACACTATTGTTCAAAATTTGGGGTCAGTAAGATTTTTTATGGTATTTGAAATAAACATTAAGTCTATAAAGTCTCTTATGCACACCAAGGCTCCAATTATTTGATCAAAATATAGTAAAAACAGTAATATTGTGAAAATATGATTATAATTTTAAATAACTGTTTTCTAATTTCATATAATTTAAAATGTAATTTATTCCTGATGGCTATGTTGATTTTCAGCAGCAGTTTTCAGTGTCTCACGATCCTTCAGAAATCATTCTAATATGCTGATT